CACACCGCCCCTTTTCGTTCTACCGCCCCCCTGAAAAATGAAATCGCCCCCTGGGGGGCCTTATCGCCCACGTTAAGAACCACTGACTTATAGGGATTTTGAAAAACACTTGTTGTTTAGTCGTTTAGTTGTGTCCAACTCTTCGTGACCTCATGGACCAGAGCACGCCAGGCCCTCCTGTCTTCCACTGAAAAACATTAGTCCTAAGAAAGAATCCTGTGGCAGCCCACTTGCCACTTCCTTCAAGGATGATGAGAAACCATTGGCAAGCAGTCTTTGGGTATAGCCAACCGCACTACATCATCTAACATATTCCAGCTTGATCACTAAAGTATTGCAAAGGGCCTTGCCAAGAGCTTTGCTGAAATGAAGATTCACTACATCCAAAGCATTCCCTTGATCTACCAAGCTTGAGATTATGTGAAAAAAGATACAAGTGTGGCATGATTTGTGTTTTGAGAAACACATGCTGGGTCTTTGAAATCACAGTGTCCCCTGACTGTTGATTTCACTTCCACATTAGTCACCATGCACCTATGCTTTTAGGGACATGGTGGCGCTGTGGGCTAAACCGCAGAAGCCTGTGCTGCAGGGTCAGAAGACCAAGCAGTCATAAGATCAAATCCACGCGATGGAGTGAGCTCCTGTTGCTTGTCCCAGCTCCTGCCAACCTAGTGGTTCGAAAGCATGCAAATGCAAGTAGATAAATAGGGACCACCTCAGTGGGAAGGTAACAGCATTCCGTGTCTAAGTCGCACTGGCCATGTGAATACGGAATATTGTCTTCGAACAAACACTGGCTCTATGGCTTGGAAACGGGGATGAGCACCGCCCCCTAGAGTCGAACACGACTGGACAAAAATTGTCAAGGGGAACCTTTACCTTTTTACCTATGCTTTTATTATTGATCAATTGTATATCATGAAGTAGTTATAAAAAACAGCAACAGGTAATGAGAATAAATTTTAATTGGAAAAATGTCTCATTGAAGAAGAGTACCCTTCCATTTTCTGTGATTCAAATTTGCCTCCACTTGTTGTATCTTTTATGAATGCTTTTAAAAATCTGCAAGAAATCTTACATATTCTCCCACATCATGTTTGGTTTAGCAAAATCTAACAATTTTCAAACCAGAACAAATGTTCACAAATCCAGTAAAGGATAGATTTCTTTCAATAGATGTGAATTTTTAACAAGACTTAGTCTGGCAGCATAAAAGCATAATGTTGGGTGGCAACAAAAATTACTGGACACAGATGAATATTACAGTCAAAGCATAATTTTAAACTGTATTTGTTCAGCTCCCCTTCCCTGTTGTTTGAATCCTGAAAATTGTAGAGGCCATTTCTCACAAAGAAGATTCACCATGCGACATTTCACACTCTTGCAACATGCTATCTTGACTTAATAACATTTTTAACAATGGTAAAAAGCTGAAAAGGACAAGTGCCTTAAATATGCCACTCCTCTTAAATATGCCACTCCTCTTAAATATGCAACTCCTCCTCTTCTCAAAGAGAAGCATTCTGAGAAGCAACCCTATAGAATAAAATATGACTGTGCCCATGAAATAAAATAATTATTGACACCTATAGTAAGAGTGTGGAACAGCTCCATGCAGTTTTTAAGATAAAGAGCACAGTCCTTGGAAATTCTGAACATTTAAATCAGAGAAGAAACTAGCATCAGGACTGCACACAAAAAAATCAATGGTAGATCTTTCCTCTATATCAAACATGTAAGCCAAAATTTCTGCTACTATGGGTGGGATTATCTGTTGTTATTTATTTTTAATATATTTCAACTATAAATACAAGTTCCCTTCTTCCTACACTAGACACCTAACAATAATACATGAACACACACACACAAAAATAGCAAAAATATATATGTTTCACACACTACTCTTAAACACTGCTGTATCACAGGGCAAATAGCAGAATGAGTGAATTATCACAGATCTGACAGCATCGACTGAGCTTTCATACAGCCATATGCCATTTTCCAGTGGAATACAGTGGTGCCTCGCTTAACGAGTGCACCATTTAACGACGAATCCGCATAGCGATCTATTTTTTTAGATCGCTAATGCGATCGCATTGCGATGTTCTGAATAGGCAAAACATCGCATTGCGATGATTGGTAAGCTGATCGGCGGTTCCAAAATGGCCGCCGGGTGCCCAAAATGGCCACCGCAAGTGTTTTCGCGCCCTGCCCTTGCTTACCGAGGGCGCGAAAATGGCAGCGCTATGGAGGAACTTTGCTGAACGGTGAGTTTGGGTCTCAAAGTTTAATGCGTTCCTATGGCTTTTTACGTTCCGTTTAGCGATTAACGTCGCTATGTGGGGCACCGCTGTATTTACTTTAGAACTCACAATGCAAAACAAATAGATTCTGCTTGCTTGAACTTGCTCAAAATTAAACTTGTGAATAGAAAGGATAAATTTATACTTACCTGCACTAAAATTCTTGGCCTCTGTGGGGATGGAAAAGGAACTTTGTGCATAAAGTGGGATATATGCCTGAGGATAAAAGGAAGTATTTCAGCTTAATATTTTACAAAGAAACCCAATGTTTGTGCAAAATATTTCTAAAACAATAAAAACTAGAAATGTTGCATAAACACTGCTGATCTTCCAGCTTAAATAGATAGTTAGCTGTTGACTGGCCATCCTAGCTAGTGGAGTTGTAGCCCCCAAAAGTTGAATTTATGCCTTTGAGTACTGGGCTGAGTACTGAGTATATGGAGGAAAAAGAGCCAGGGCAGGAGAATTGTGGCAGAGAAAAAGAGAGAGCACTTGGTGAGCCTCGTGGCGCAGTAGTTAAACCGCTGTACTACAGCTAAAACTGTGCTCACGACCTGGGGTTCAAATCCCAGGTAGCCGGCTCAAGGTTGACTCAGCCTTCTATCCTTCCGAGGTCGGTAAAATGAGTACCCAGCTCGCTGGGGGGGGGGCAATGTGTAGCCTGCATAATTAAATTGTAAACCACCCAGAGAGTGCTTGAAGTGCTATGGGGTGGTACATAGTGGTACATAAGCAGCATGCTTTGCTTTGCTTTGCTTTAAGAGAAGGATTTCTAGATTGTAACCCAGGCAAAGCCAGGCACTTTTGCTAGTAAATGATAAATCAAACTGTTTATAAAAATAAAATAGGATGTTTTAATAGGTTAAGGAAATCTTCGATTAGCATTTCCTAGCCCTCCTCTTTGGATTACTGATGATTGAGAACCATAAAGCACTTTATCAAAAAAAAGATTTCATTAATGAATTAAACAAATCTATATTTTAAAAAAATCTTTTAGAATGAGGAATGAAGGGTATAAGACACATTAAAAACACCTTGGAATAAACATTAAAAATGCATACAGTGCAAAAGAAGATGGGATTTGTGTTAGCATTTTTGGTTGATATGTTTAAAACTGGAATATTTGGTGTGGGCCTTGGAGATACAAACATTCCCTGTAAGAGGGGGTTACATTATACCCTCCCTTGCCATATGTGAAAAGAATCAAATGAAATGATCTTAAGTTCAGCTCTATTCAGTTGTGCTTGCTATTGCACTGGTTAATTTCTCAAAATGAACTGTTCGATGCATAGAGACTAGAGATGGGGGTACTCGTATTTGTATACGAATATCCCCCCACAGGTGCAGATAACGAGGGTCCTGCCCCCTGGGGCCATTCTGCTGCTGCCCCGAGCTCTGTGGTGCCTTCCTATCGCTCCATTGCTCGTGATGGATTAGTCACTCCTGGAAGAAGGCGGGATGCCGAGCCTCTCCGCCACGTCGCAGGGTGGCTAATCCACTGCGAGCAACAGAGTGATAGGAAGGCACTGTGGAGTTCGGGCAGCAGTGGAATTGTGTGTGGTTGGTCTGGCCCCAGGGGGCCGGACCCTCATTATCTGCACCTGTGGGGAATACCCCCATCTCTAATACAGACACTGTCCAGAAAGAAGCGGACTTTACATTTTCACTGAGACTTTATGATATCAGGGGCAGTCCCTTTAAGCTCAAGGTAATAAAGTCAGCAGATCTTTCAGAAAGCTTTACAATGGGAAACTCTAGCAAAAAACTTACCCCAAATCTTCAAAACATTTGTTTTAGCCTAATCAACCATACATCCTTCTGCTAATCATCGATGGTATAGCGATAGCCAGAAAAGCTAAATGTTATAAATGAGCTCCTTTACATTCATGGAAAATATCCTTTCTTACCACAAATTACAGACAAATGATCATTTACAAATCTGTTTTGCAGCTACCTGAATTTTCTGTAAACAGCAGAAAACTGGCTAAAAGGCCCTTAGTGGAGAAGGCAATGAATGTGGAGGTTCAGTAAAGGTAATACACCAAGCCCTGGATGCCTGCTTGGGGATTTTTGGTTTTTGTTTTAGACTGGCATCCTCTTCTATAGGCAGCTGGCACCTTCTGACAGAATTTGTTGGTCAGGCCTATTACGACTTAAATCCTAGAAGGTCAATGAGCTAGTAGGCCTTTAGGGGTGCAATTTTGAGGCAGATGTGCTGGAGAACCTCCTCCCTCTAATTCATTCCTATATCATATATAACAGACTTTTCCTACAGTTTTAGCCATTCCCATTGCATTAACTCTACATCTGGATCAAAGCAATGGCTTGAGGCCTCAAAATCTTCAAGCAGGCAATGCTTTAAAGCCACTTCCCTGGTTTCTTTCTCCATTTGTTCAGCCTTCCAGTCTCTAGATTCGTGGTTCTGGGAGCTGGTTTGTCAATTCAGACATCATAGCACACCTTTACTTTAACCCATGGGGATGGGAACAAGATTGTCTCACACCAAGCATCAGCAGCCAGTCTCCAGAGTTTTATCACTTGCACCACAAACACTCTGATCTTTCAGGAAAGCAGAATCATTAGCCTCTGTCCATCAACCGTGCCTTCTATGCTGAAGTTCCAGACTGAATACAGATAATCTCTAGAAATATCTCAAAATCAAAGAGGCAACACCCAGGTCATGTCTTCATATTTCCACCATGCCATGCTTGACTGTGGTCTTGATTCCTAATCCATTTCTGGCCATAAATTCCCAGCTGCTCAGATAAATTAGTACACAAGTCAAGGTCTTAAAAATGCTATTTCCATGCACACGGCATGATGGAGTATGTGATCCTTTGCAGCACAAACACATATGGCAAATGTTTTAGAGAAAAGATGGGCATCCAACAGCCGTGCTTGACTGTGGTTTTGATTCCTAATCCATTTCTGGCCATGTCATCTGCCTCTAAACCTCTGGGTTTTTACTGGTCCACTCCAGAGCCTGCTCCCCAATGTGTCCATGCCACTACTTATACTTCTGAACTTTCTGACCCATATTTGCTGGCACAGACTCACAGCTATGACCATTCTCAGTGTATAACAAAAGGCTTTATTAGAACAAAACATGTTTTCCAACCCATACTTTAAAATATAGCCTCTGTTCATGCATTAAAAGCCATAAGAGTAGCTAATTCAACATTACGTCTCAGATATAGGCACATTTCAAATATTACCAAAGCAGAGTTTAATATATGGACAAATCTGGAACTAGTTTCTGGTTTACAATGTTGGTTTGCAGGCCAAGTGCAAATAGTAGCCACCAGTTCAGAAATAACAGAAAATAACACTTGATGGAAACTAGGACAGAAAAGAGAAAACCGCAGAATACAAGGAAGCAGAGTATACATGTTGGAGGATTATGCAAGTTTTGTCATATACTGCCAAAATGGGTTTTTTACATTATATGTAAATCAACCCTAATTAAGGTTTCTTGAGCCTGATTTGGTTTGAGATTTAAACCAAGCCTATGACAACAAGCAGGGGGACCCAAGTACACATTGGTTAGATGCAATGCTCTTTCAACAATAACAAGAGACCAACTTGAATCAACCATGTCATACTTCAAGAACATTAAAATTGTGTGAAACACAAAGATATCTCTGAAAACTTACTTCTCAATGGGCAGGACATGTGGACCAGAGATGGAGTAACGATATAGAAAAGTAAGAAATTTCTTGAAAGCATCAAAGAATGGCCAGTGTGAGAGAAGGCAGATACATTTCTTAGTCTGGATTGTTTTAGGAGTGGCAGTTTTTCCATCAACATTATCCACAAAACCTAACTGAGACCTCTGCTTTTCTGTGAGATTTTCCTCTGGATACGTTTCATAGAACTGAATAGCTGCACCATAGACCTGTGAAAGACAGTATGTTTGAGACAAGCAACCTGTTCTTTCTGCATTTATACTTAAGGCAAGACATAAGCTCTCAAATCGCTTTTATTTAATATATTGCATGTTTCTAAAAATAAGTATTAACAATGTATTTCCAGCTGCTCTGAGAAATTAGTATACAGGTCAAGGTCTTAAAAATGCTATTTCCATGCACATAACATGATGGATATGTGATCCTTTGCAGCACAAGCACACATGGCAAACGCTTTAGAGAAAAGATGGGCATCCAAGAGCATCTCTTGTGTCTCTACCCTTTCAACATAGAAATCTCAAAAGATGAAAAGAAATGAAGGCAAGGAAGAGAAGAACGCTTTCAGAAGCTATCTCTGGTTGTGATCAGACGTGCATTTAGTTTGGTCCACTGCAGGGATGGACCGGTTCACTCCTTTTTCTGCTGATCAGACAACATAACTGCTGAATCAAACCAAATCATCCCCGGAGTTTGGACCAAAAGTGACTCTTGCAGCTGTCAAAGCTCCTTCATCTGTTCATTTGCCATATCATGGAGTGGCTTAAGAAAAGAGCCACTTCAGGATATTGGCAAACTACTTCCTCTGCCCCTCTGCAGAGGGGGACAGGGGAAGTGGGAAAAAATTTTAGACTGAATTATTCCAGATGTACTATACCACCTATGCACATTTTTTAAAAAAATTGCTTCCCCCCAGAAGTGGGAGGAGACAGGAGGGGACAACAAAGGGCTTTCCCCTCCTTTTTTTCTACTTATCTTAAAGTTCTGGTAGAGAACCTGCCCACAGCCGAAAACAAGCCATGCAGTTGTCAAGCAAAGCCTTACTGCAGTTGGCGGTGGGTTGCTGCCGACCAAAACCAGCCTGCAGAGTCATAGAGGAAATGTTACATTTGCAGTATCTTGAAATGTCTCTCTTAAGCCACTTCACAATATGGCAAATTGGGAGCTGGACCAAATAAGGTTGCTTGAGATCTGATATGCCATTTAGATGCGAGGATCACACCAAATGGCAAATCACAGCACCCAACCCCAAGCAACCCAATTTAGCCCGCTCCAAAACTCCCAGTGTTGACAAGTCCTCTGATCAGCTAGGGAATGAAAAGTCCACTCAGCACCTTAAAAAGGCACTTTAAAAGCACTTTCAAAAAGCATATCTTTTTCCAGTGTGTTGTCGGGAGGATAGCAAAGGAGAGAGAGAATGGGCAGACAGTGCATTTTGGTATGTGTGGAATGAAAGGAATGCATAGTTTTAATATCATTACATTAGTTATAATGTAACTAATGGCAGATTTATCCATACCTTTTCAGCTGAAGCTCCAGTTAATACAAATGTAGAAAATACTGGAAGGGGATATTTGCTATTAGATGGCCAACATTCAATTGTTGCACCCATTGGGAGGCAAAATAAAGGTACTGATTCTGGTAAAGGAAATGAATCGTAGTCATCTTCTGGATATCTACATATTAAACCTGGAGAGAGTAAATGTTCATTTTACTGAAAGACATGAATTCTACAATGCATACTAGAAATTTTTAGAGAATCATCATCTATGTAAAAGAGAGATTACTTACCTGTAACCATGGTTCTTCTAGTGATCCTCTTTGAATCCACACAATTGGTTTGCTCTGCGCCTGCGCAGGACGTCTCGGAAGTTGCTAGAACTTAAAGACATGTGATTAGTAGGACGTACCCCATGGAGCGCATGCTCCGCCCTCCAAAGGTCCCCTCAATTCCTGTAAGAGTTTGCTGCTGTCAAAGACCATCAAAAGACGTGAGGGACAGAGGGGAGGATGGGCGGGATGTGTGGATTTACAGAGGACCACTAGAAGAACCACGGTTATAGGTAGGTAACCTCTCTTCTTTGTGGCCTCTGTGAATGCACAAGCTGGATTCTTACTGGATGACTGACAAGCTGACTTACTGGATGATGGGACGTCATGGTAGAAAGGATGTCAAGACCACTCTGCTAAAAGCAGCATCATTCTTCGCCCAGACATCCAGACAGTAGTGCCTCACAGAGGTTGATGGATTCCTGTGGTGTACAACCTTGGCCCTCCAGATGTTCTTAGACTATAGTTCCCAGAAGCCTTCACCACCACCTCTGCTGGCCAGGATTTCTGGGAGTTGAAGTTCAAGAACATCTGGAGGACCAAGGTTGGACACCATGTAGCTGCACGGCAGATGTAAGGAAGTTCTATTCCGTGCTGTAAGGCAATAGAGGTTGACAGCGCTGTGGTAGAGTGAGCTCTTAAATGTTCAGGAGATGTTTTGCCTGTGAGCTCATAGGCCAGTGAGATAGTTTGAACAATCCAGCGAGAGATAGTTTGAGGCGAAGCTGGGGTACCTTTATGAGGGCCAAGAAAGCATAAGAAGAGCCTTGAAGACTTTCTGAATGATTTAGTTCTATCGATGTAGAAGGCCAAAGAGCACCTTATGTCAAGCATCAGCCGGAGATAGGCCAGTACTCGGCGAAAGGCTAGTAATGGAAGCTGCAGCCTGAGTGGTGTTAAAGTTGGGTCATCTCTATCCAAGATCGAGCCGGGGTGCCTCTAGATGACTCCTCAAGGATTGGTGATAGGAGCACTGGTTGAGGTGTATCTATCTGAGTCAATTTCGTAGGTTTCTTAGTCTTCTTAGGTTTGGCCTTATCCTTTTTTTTCCTTAGAAGAGTCATTGCGACAGGCTGGAGCTCAATTTCAAAGCGGACTTCAAAAGGTCTTTTTGTTGAGGTGCCAGAGTTGTCGGGCTCAGTATCGGGTTTCTTGATGCTCTGGACGTGGAGTTGGGGAGGTTGCCGGATCCATGGGAGGCGGATTAAGAGATTTTCCCCAAAGGTACGAGTGAAGCATTTGTAGGCGTAATTTTAAAGCGGGCTTTAAAAGCTTTTTGCACTCGGGGCAGGAGTGTGTTTGGTGTTGTTCACCTGAGCAAAAAAGGCAACGGCCATGACTGTCAGTAAGTGGGATCTTATTCGTGCAAAGCATACACTGTTTGAAAGGCCCTGGGGGCCCATAAAAGGTAGGGGGGAAAGGAAGGGAAAGATGGCGGGAGTAGAAAAAACTGTGGGTGGAAGAGAAAAAATAAATGGAGTAAATTCAAAAGGGAAATGGATACCTTACAGGGAACGTCCAACAAAAGAAATGATTGAAAAAAGGAAATGAATGATCTAAAGGATTGATCTCAGTAATCGCTCTAGTGTTTCGAAAGAGGTCCAACTGAAGCAGCGACAAAAAGGAACTAAGGGGACCTTTGGAGGGTGGAACATGCGCTCCAAGGGGGAACGTCCTACTAATCACATGTCTTTAAGCTCTAGAAATGTCCAAGATGTGCTGCGCAGGCACAGAACAACCCAATTGTGTGCATTCACAGAGGCCATGAAGGAGAACCTGAAACTGAGCTGCAGCACAGTGGCCAAGACCATACAGCAGTTTAACAAGACACGTTCCACTCAGAACAGGCCTCGCCATGCTCAACCCGAGATACTGAGTGCCCGTGCTCAGCGTCATATCCAGAGGTTGGCTTTGGGAAATAGACGTATGAGTGCTGCCAACATTGCTACAGAGGTTGAAGGAGTGGGGTGGGGTGGTCAGCCTGTCAGTGCTCAGACCATACGCCACACACTGCATCAAATTGGTCTCCAGGGCTGTCATCCCAGAAGGAAGCCTCTTCTAAAGATGATGCATAAGAAAAGCCGCATACGGTTTGCTGCAGACAAGCAGACCAAGGACATGGATTTCTGAAACCATGTCCTGTGGTCCGATAAGTCCAAGATAAACTTATTTGGTTCAGATGTTGTCAAGTGTGTGTGGTGGCAACCAGGTGAGGAATACAAAGAAAAGTCTGTCATGCCTCCAGTCAAGCATGGTGATGGGAGTATCATGGTCTGGGGCTGCATGAGTGCTGCTGACACCAGGGAGCTACAGTTCATAGAGGGAACCATGAATGCCCGCATGTACTGTGACATACTGAAGCAGAGTATGATCCCCTTCAGAGATGGGCCCGCAGGGCAGTATTCCAACATGATAACCCCAAACAAACCTCCAAAATGACCACTGCCTTGCTAAAGAAACTGAGGGTAAAGGTGACGGACTGGCCAAGCAGGTCTCCAGACCTAAAGCCTATTGAACATCTGTGGGACATCATGGAACGGAGGGTGGAGGTTCGCAAGGTCTCTAACATCCACCAGCTCTGTGATGTTGTCATGGAGGAGTGGAAGAGGAGTCCAGTGGCAACCTGTGAAGCTCTGGTGAACTCTACGCCCAAGAGGGTTACGGTAATGCTGAAAAATAATGGTGGCCACACAAAATATTGACACTTTGTGCCCAATTTGGACATTGTCATTTAAGGGTGTACTCACTTTTATTGCCAGTGGTTTAAACATGAATGGCTGTGTGTTGTGTTATTTTAAAGGGACAGCACATTTATACTGTCATACTATAAACTCTTTGCTTTACATTGTAGCCAAGTGTCACATGAAAAGATATACTAAAATATTTATGAAATGTGAGGGAGTGTACTCAGTTCTGAGATATACTGTATATAAAAAAGCAGTTTCTAGTCAGCCAGTTTTCTCATACTACATGTTTTCAATAAACACTTTAAAAATATATTGTAGATGACTTACCAGCTTTATATGATATGGTGTTTGTTTTGGCCACAGACTTCTTATAACACAAATATACTGCTGAGCCCCACTGCAAAAGAAGAGTGGAACATCTTAATTATTACACCAGACATTGTAGAAACACAAAGTACAATGCTATAAGGCAGAGAGGTATACAAACCTGATAAGATAACTTGCATAAGGCTAAATTCTCTTCTCAAAATTATCACTATTATTCCAATAAGTATGTAAGTAGCTGTGTGTCAGATAAAGAACTTGATTCATAAATAGCCCATTTTGAACAAGTCATTTATTTTGAACCTTGCTGATACTTAAGCCTTTTATAACCATGCTTGAGGCTCTTACCCTGTAATTTTTCACACTATACTGTACAATAATTTCATAATATTTAAATAGTACCAATCTCCTTCTGTTGCTAGTAACCTGCTCTATTAAACACTCCCATGAATTGTAAAATGAAATGAAGAAAAGAACTAAAGAGAAAGCTACCAATAAATATCTGCAGTGCCTCATGCATTACGAACTACAAATATAATGCATTTTTTTGTATGAGATCAACTCTAGTTTTCAATTTCTGGTAGTGAAAAACAACACTGTCACTGCAGAGCTTAAGACAAAAATTCCCACTGATTTCAACAGTGTTCCGATACTGTCAATTTGCATAAAAACTTGTGACGCTCCAACAGCTAAATATGAAAATTTCCTTGGAATAAGTTCCTTAGAATACAGATCTCCAGTGTGAACAGGTTTGATATGTGAAAGCATATGACTGCATTCCTTGTAATTTGAAACATAATAGTCACTACTCAGCTGCATTTTAAGACTAATCGGTTTTTCCAGGCATCACGCTTTTGACAGAGCATCTGGTTCATACTCAGAGGCATCTACCAACCTCCTCTGATCCATCTAGTATACACTATTAAGAAACTGCTGACAATAAAAGGCAGATCCAAAACAGACATTCTTATAATAAAGTGGCATCGTACTTTTATTGGTTATAATAGTAGGTTATTGATTTTCAAATAACAAAGGCTGGGAAACTCCAGTACCTGTTCTAATAGTTATGTCTGAAATATTTTGATTACAAGAAATAAAAATACTTTCAACTCTCTACATCTTGAAAGATCAATATACTGATTATTCTGATGTGTGAGATCACCAAGTGTAAGGCTGTGTCCCTGGAGACCAAGACTGAGACCATCCACACTCTTGTATTTCTGATCACCATGTGAAAGCTGGGCAGTAAAAAAAAAAGGCTAACAGGAAAAAACTGATTTGTTTGAAGTGTGGTGCTGGAGGAGAGCTTTGCAGACACCCTGGATTGTTAGAGAGATAAACAAATGGTATCCCAGATCAAATCAAACCTGAACTATCTCTGGAAGCAAAAATGTTGAAACTGAAGCTGCTCTATTTTGGGTGCATCATGAGAAGGCAGAATTCTCTGGAAAAGACAATAATGCTGGGAAAGGTGGAAGACAGCAAGAAAAGAGGAAGAGCAAATATGAGATGGACTGACTCCCTAAATTCAACAGGCTGAGCAGGGCTGTTAAGGACAGGACATTTTGGAGACGGCTCATTCATGGGGTCACTGTAAGTTAGAGGCAAACTGACAACACATACTAACAAAATTCTGATATACAATCTATACTCTGGATTGTTACTTTTAGAACAGAATATGAAGAAACAGAATACAGTGGAACCTCGACACGAACGTCCCTACTTGCAAACAATTCAAGTTACGAACGGCTCCGTTCGCAAAAAGTTGCTTCGACCTGCGAACGGAGCCTCGACTTACAAACCAAAAAAAGAAAAAAGAAATAAAAACCTTTCCTGCCTTTTTTGACCTAAGTTCACCTTAGGTCAAAAGAAGAATTTTTTTAAAAAAATCGGACCTCTCAGCAGGTTTAGCGCCCTGAGTTGACTGGGGTGGGTGGGTATGAGAATCATCCATTCCTTTGGAAGCCAGAAAGACTTCTCCTAGAGGCAGATGTTCAAGAGAAAGCAATGTGTTTTTTTACAGCAGACAGACCAAACTTGCGGCAGTGCAGACAAGAGTGGGGCTGGTATGAACCTCATGCAGTAAAGGCACTGGCCGTGCCCTTCCAACGGAGGAACATTTCTGTCATAAGTTAAGCACTTCTTTAAGGGGTGGCCAAGGGCCATAAAAGGAGAAGGGGAGGAAAAGTAAAAACCAGAATGGAGAACTCCTGCCCAAATAATTAAAAACTATCTTTCCCAGGAGAATAGCGGCCAAGATTGAAAAAAGGCAAAAAATGATAAGCTTTGAGAATCAAAGAATCATGGAATACAACCTTCAGAACATGGCCAAAGAGCCCAAAAAACTCACAACAACAATCACAGAATAGTGAAGTTGGAAGGAGTCTAAAAGGCCACCATTGTCCTCAGCTTCCACAGCAGTGGCTAAAAGTAAATGAGAGGGTCAAGTCTTTGCATGCCAATGCATGTACACTGGGAGGCGGAGGAAACTAACAGTCTTTCTTTTTAAGCTTTAGAATGTTCTAAACATTTGTGCATGTGCACTACAAAATCCACATGTGTGATTCATGGAGGCGATAAAGAAGAACCATCATAGAGATTTTGTCCTGGCCATGGTGATACATGCCTTAATTACATCTCGTTTGGATTACTATAGCATGCCATACACGGGGCTGTCTTTGGAAACTGTTTGGGAAATTCAGTGGGTCTAGAATGTTCCTGTCAAATTGTTAATTGGGTCTAATTATGGACATCCCATAATTCTCCTGTTATAAGAGTTCCATTGTCTGATGGTTTATTTCTTGGCACAATTCAAAGTGCTGTTTTTGACTATAAAGCCCTGACCAACTTATGTCTAGGTACAGTGGACCCTCGACTTACAGACGGCTCGACTTACAGACTTTTCGAGTTACAGACTTCTCTGGCTGCAAAATTTACATTCGATTTACAGACAGAGAATCAACTTACAGACCAGAAAAAACCCAAAATGGAACAAAAATAGAATAAAAACCACTGGTTATGGGATTAATCGGTTTTCAATGCATTGTAGGTCAATGGAGATTTGACCTATAGACTTTTCGACTTGCAGCCACCATTCTAATACAGATTAATTCCTTAAGTAGAGGGTCCACTGTAACTCTCCCTTTATGAGCCTGTCTGGGTTTTTAATGCATTGGGAAAGTCCAAACTCTCTCACGGGTACATTTGGTGAGAACATAAGAACGGTTGCTGCTCCCAAGCTGTAGAACTCCTTCCCACTGGAGGCTAGGCTGGTTCCTTCCCTTTTTGCTGTTCCTCCACAAGCAGGCAAAAGCCTTTCTCTTCAGAAAGTCATTTTCTCAGTAACTGGTTGCCTAAGAGATGAGCTGCCATTGGTGTCCCTCTCCCTACCTCGTGTTATTTTTTTTAATATTGCTTGTTTTAATACTGTAAACCTCCTTGGGTCCTTTGGAGGAGAAAGACAGGTTATAAATATTTGAAATAAGTAATAAATAATATGAGGCAGCAAAAAAAGAGGACCACCAAGTATAAGGTGGATTGATTCAATAAAGCCTTGAGTTTGCAAAACCTGAGCAGAACTGCTAATGAGAAGACATCTAAGAGGTCACAAGTTGCCACAAGTTGAAAGTGACTTGAAAGCACATCAAAACAGCAAAACAACAACATGCATCTATACACATGATTTTTAGTTTCCAAAATAATTTACAGCATTTATGAAGTCTAAAAAATACTTGAAATGCTAAGTTTTTATGAGAACAACTGCTTTCATTATGCTGCGTTTTGTAAAACCTAGACATAGGAAGAAAACATATAATGTGAATCATGAAGTACATTACTTTTAGAAGTGCACGTTTAACAATTGCGTTTGTAAAACAGGGATGAAAACTCTAATAACTGGTGTGCCAGCTGCACCTGTTCCTGGAGAGGTCTGATTTGGCCACAATGACACATACCTCAGTTACATCCCAAATAGATTACTGCAATGCAGTCTATGTGGGGCTGCCTCTGGAAAGTGTTTGGCGCTATCAGGGAGTCCAAAATGTGCAGCCAATTTGTTAAATGGAGCTGACTACATGGAACACATACCCGCTCTGTTTTTAGCAGCTCCACTATCTGCCGAACTGGCACAGTTCAAAATGCTGGTTTTAAACTATACAGTTACATCCCAACTAGATTACTGCAATGCAGTCTATGTGGGGCTGCCTCTGGAAAGTGTTTGGCGCTATCAGGGAGTCCAAAATGTGCAGCCAATTTGTTAAATGGAGCTGACTACATGGAACACATACCCGCTCTGTTTTTAGCAGCTCCACTATCTGCCGAACTGGCACAGTTCAAAATGCTGGTTTTAAACTATAAAGGCCTGAATAGCTTGGCTCCAAGCTGACTCAAGGACTGCATTTCCTTTCATGAGCCTGCCTGGGTGTTACGATAATCAGAGGAGGCCTTTCTCTTGGTCCCACCATTCCCACAGGTACACTTGGTGGGAACATGAGAGAGGGCCTTCTCTACTGCTGCTCCCAGACTTTCGAACTCCCTGCCACAGGAGGTCAGGTTGGCTCCATCTTTGCTGTCCTTTTCTCAAGTGGACAAAAAACCTTTCTTTCGGGCAGGCTTTTCCTTAGTGACTGTCTATCTGGAAGCGGTTTTTAAATGAATTGTTGTCCCTTGCTGCTTTGTATGTTTCTGCTCCTGATTTTGTTCACAGCTTTAGTGTGATATTTGTTTGATTCTTTTGTAATATTTGTATACTTACTGTTTTTAGTTTTTAAATATTGTCTTCTAGTAATCTAATCCAACTTGGATTCTTTTTAAGGAAAATGTTTTAAACAAGCAAACAAATAGATACTCCTTGAGCTACAAGTCTTGATTATGCTCACAAAAAAATTATAGACAAGTTTTTAAGTATATTTAAAAAGAGGTCAAATGACCAGATCAGATTTGGATTTCCTGTTCTCGGTCACCAGAATTTTGCCTGTAATAGTTCTGCCCTGCCATTCCAAACACACATGCTCATCTCTTCCTGTTCTATTGTTCTAGGAAGTGACCTAAACCACATTTTATCATTCAGCAACAGCACTGTGCACTAGAGAGATAAAGGAAAGCCTTCAGTTTAACACACGTGAGGACCTGCTAAGCCCTATGCAAAATACCTTAAAATAAAATGCCTAAGAACATGACAAATACATGATCTCACAAAAGTAAACATTATGTACATCATTTATAGCAACATGCATGGCACAGTGCACAGGATTAATAGCTTCTATTTAATTTATATTATGACCAGATATCCTTTCTTTTTTCTTTAACTTTACTCCACCTAATGCTTGATCCATCTTTTAAGTAACTGGCTGTATGTATGCCTTCTACAGCTTTCTTTTTACAGTAGAACATTTGGAAGTAATTAACTTCTGCCAAAGTGGATTAGCCTTTTTCACACTGATAAAGCAATGAATATCGGAGCTAGGGATTACACGGTATGTGAAAAATGAATACTTTAATGATTACTAGCAAGTACATTAAAAGTGTGGGAATATTCAAATATATAGCTGGCAGCCAGACAAAAATAGCTAACATTAGCTGATTTTTGACAACAGTGTTTCTTTTTGGCATATTCACCTTCATGACAGTAACAAAAATCCATATTCATGGGCACCATATTACACTTTATCGGATGCCTGAAGCAAACAGAAAGCAGCCAACATCACTGTATCCTTGTTGGGAGTTCCCAGGGGCATGTGGCTGATTGTTGCTGAACCAGATAATCCCTTAGAGTCTGATCCAGCACAGCAATTGTTATATTTTTGTGTTCTTACATTTTATGTTCTTCTATTAGGGGCTTTACACATAACTTCCTACTAAAGATTTTGCACTATGTTTGTACCAGTGTCCAGAGATCAACAAACAATGGAAAACAAGCTCACATAGGGCCTGTGATATTTTCACAAGAGTAAGAATAACAGGAAGAAATACATGTCTTGGCATATATACAGGGAGGAAATCCATTGTAACAAATTTGTTACATGATATAAACTGATTACAAACCTCAAAACTACTGAGAATCATTTAGTACAAATCCAAAAGTCATCTTACCATACTATTGTTGAGATTCTTGTCAACCTTGCAGAATGTGTGTGGTGGAATTTCTCCCTTGCTAGGAATAATTATGCATATGTCTGTAACAGCCAGGGTATTTTGTGTTATGTTCTCAGAGGCTCTTCGGTACGTGATGTACACCTTCTGTGATGAGGTACCACTACTGATATTTGCAGGGCGGCCATATGGAGTGAGCTGAATAATTTCACAACCCTGCTTTAATCTCTCTTTCCCATCGTACAAAGCCCTATACAAAAGACAAGCCCCAAAGCAGAAAACAAGCAAAAAGGCATTAAGATCTAGAAAAGGACTAAAAGACAAATATAACAATATAGATATGTGAAACAGCAGTAAGGTCCAGATCCACTTGTAAGCAATCCTGCCCTGCTCTAATACCGTAACACTCCTCCCTACTTCATCCATGATCTAACAGGTTTTTCTCCAATTCTGCCTCTGGCAATATCTAGTGGGCTAATGATTTGGAAACTGAAAGTAGATAGGTTCTGTTCATGATAACTGCCATTTAAAAAATTGAAAACCTATAGCAATATGGATAAAAATTACTCACCCCAAATCAGTAAGTGGAGGCTTGTCCCTTCCTCTCCTGTAGCACAGGTATATTTGTGGTCCCACAAGGCTCCCATTGTTGAGATCTGCTGATAGTCCTGATGGAGTTAAATCGATGCACTTGTAACCGTGAGGGACCTCCTCTCCCAGAGATTTAATTACCACTGCCACATCTGTGATTGGTTCTTTTGGCTTTGCAAGTTTGTGGCAGGCATCATTGAAGTGGATTTCTTCCTCTAATGGTTTCGAAATATCAGTCAACCCAGCCACAACGAAGTAGTCAGCAACACGAGCGCCTCTGTCTTCCATCTTCCATCACAGAAAAGATCTAGCTGGCAAGTCACAAAGGAAGGTGAGTCATAAGAAACAGGAACGCACAGGCATGTCTAAAATCAGCCACATAAAGACTGTATTAAAGAAGTATTCCATTTCTCTATGATGCCTTTGTCATGTTCTACGTAAACCAGTCTATGTAAAATGTAAAATACACATAGGACAATACCACTTACAATACATACCTGTGTTTCAGCTTCAGCAATAAAAGCATGAATGTACTAGGCTGTGAACGCCTTATGGAGTTTAATGAGTTTAACATGCTTGCACAGACATGAAACAACAGCTAACACTCTTGCCACAAAAACAGCTTGCCTTGCAATAAATTATCTTACTTAACAAAACGAAACAAAAAACACTTTGCAATATGAACTTCTTTTGAAGCATACTTACTGTGTAACATATTAATTCAAATAATAACCTCAACAATCACAGCTTGTGCCATGTAATGAAACACAGACACTTTTCTAAAGCAGCACTGCATTACATAAACATCTGTTCTTAAATGATGCAACAGGGCTTAGTCATTTTCCATATCCACCTTCCTTTCCCTATGGTTTTCTTTTCTTTTTTTTTAAATAATGGGTTAAATGGATACTGGGAAAAACAAACACATTGATCATGCAAATATCAGAGTTTAGAATGGACAAGTGCAACTAACAATTTAAATGGTAAAAAGAATGCTATGAATAAGCACAGTAGAAAGAACTTGATCAGCTAGATTAAGCTGTTTCTTTGCTCAGTATAACACTCACTCTAACACCAACTGTTCTATAGAAAGGAATCCAGGAGAAACTGAAGACAGGACAGCACCAGCCACCTCCTTCTATTCCCACCTCCTCCCCACCCGCTGTTACCAAAGGGCCAAATACCAACTGCCCTTTGGGAACATCGCTGCCTTTTGCTTCAATTGAGCTGTTCACATTTTGCTTTCATTTTAAATGCACGATTACTGGTGTATCTTACTAATGCTACAAGCCTTTTTCTGAACTATAATTTAAATGTGCATATAATACCTAATAAATGAACATATCACAATAAATTCCTTCACATATATAGATTAAAGATTTTCAGTTGTTTCACAATGATGCTTATATGATATGAGACACTTTTCAAAACTGATTTACAAGAAGTTATAAGAAAAAAAGCCTCCGGTTTATTAATGTGAGATATTGTGCTTCCGTATCCACGAATTAAAAAGCTGGGATATGGCCCGATACTGCTGCATAACATCATGCCTGCACTGCCAGCAGAAAAAAGGATGCCAAAGTTTACATAGCAAAGGGTAGCCTGAATGTTAACAACACCAATAGCAGCCGTCAAGATGGTCTACAGCAGGGGTCCCCAACCCCAGTACCAGGCCGTGGCCTTGGCAGGACTGGACCACGGAGACAGATTTCCCCACGCACACACGGCCCCCGTGTACACACTGGCCTCCCCATGCACGCACGGATGCGCACACCCCTGCACATGCAAACATGGATGCAAGCCCCCCCATGCACTCATTGTTGCACACACAGCACCCCCACGTGGTTTGAATGGGGTTTTTCCGCTTTGCGCACACACTGGCCTCCCCATGCACGCACGGACGCACGCACCCCCCGCACATGCAAACATGGATGCAAGCCCCCGCCATGTACTCATTGTTGCACACACGGCACCCCCATGCATGCATTCCCCTCCCCCCAGGCACGCACAGATGCCCCCCGCAGCCCCCATGCATGCTAAACCAGTCTGCAATGCCAAAACAGTTGGGGACCACTGGTCTACAGGATACCCTTTTCTGCTCAATACCATTCACAAAGTGACACCATAAGGAAGGGAAAATCCCAGAAGCTGACTCCTTTTTTTATCAGTTAACGACTTCTCACACAAACGCAAAGCAACTGTCAGGGCTGTTTGTCAACAAGTGAGAATTATCCAGTGCTAGAGGATTCAAGAAGATGAGTGCATGATTATTATTGGGAGAAGACAAATGCAAAAACACCTCACATGTGACTTTAGTCCCTTTGAGGCAAAATATTTTGAAGGGGGCCTTTGGACTTAATGATATTGTGAAGTAAAAGTGTGAGTAGGTACAAGACGTACAATGGAGAAACACATTGTTTGACCTCCCGGTTAATCTAATGTTGCCATGCCGGCTCCACAGAATGCAGACTGGAAAGCTATTTTCAATTTCCAAACCTGTTCTTTAAGTTAGGCAAGCTGAGGAAGAAATGCTATACAGTCGTGCTCCGCTTTACGATTACCGCGTTTAATGACGAATCCGCTTGACGACAATGTTTTTGTGATTGCTTTTGCGATCGCAAAACAATGGTTTGAATGGGATTTTTCCGCTTTGCGATGATCAGTTCACTGCTTCGGGAACCGATTTTTGTTTTACGATGATCAAAAACAGCTGATCGTCAGGTTTCAAAATGGCCGCCGGGTGTACAAAATGGCTCCCCACTGTGTTTAGGAGCCATTTTTCGCTTTACTGGCACCTAAAAATGCCCCCCCATGAAGGATCTTCACTGGACTGTGAGTTTTCAGCCCAGTGGAACGCATTGAACGGTTTTCAATGCATTTCAATGGGCTTTTTTATTTCGCTTTACGACGTTTTCGCTCTACAGCGATTTCGCTGGAACGAATTAACATCGTTAAGCGAGGCACCACTGTATTAGACAAAAAATGCTATGGCCATGGTGTGGACATGGTTTCCAAAATATATCCCTTTGCCTTTTGAAATAAAAAAAAGGAAGAGCTTGGAGTTAGCAAAAACGTCACTGGAAACCAAGGTCAAAATCATCCATACTATGTGAAAAAAAGACGTGAAGAAAGGCAGGGAGAAAAACCAACTCATTTGAAATATGGTGTTGGAGAGATGTATAGACACAAAAGACATCTAGAAAATCAGAAAAAGGGGTGCTCAATCAAGTCAGGCCTGAAGTCTTCACTACAGCAAAATGAGTCAACTAAGCCTTTTACCATGCACATATAATGAAAATAAAGAAGTTACCAGAATAGACTGTATTACTGGGAAACGTGGGTGAAACACTAGAAAAAGGAAGATCTAACATGAGAAGGGTTGACTCAATGAAGGAAGCCACAGCTGTTACTTTGCAGGATCTGAGCAAAATGTAATGCAAAAGACAATACTGTACTGCTCAGAAGAGAGGCTAGCAGGATGAGAGAATAGCCTAACATGAGACACTGTTGATTTGCAAGACCTGACCAGAGCTGTTAATTATAGGACATACTGGAGGTCATCACATATCAAAAGTGACATACTGTACAGTTGGAAGAGAGGCTAGTAGGATGAGAGAATAGCCTAACATGATACACTGTTGATTTGCAAGATCTGAGCAGAGCTGTTAATTATAAGACATACTGGAGGTCAGTAACTTATTTAGTCACCACATATCAAAAGTGACATACTGTACAGTTTGTACAGATGGGCTTCTCTTTTGTCTGATATTTTAATCTGTTTGTTATGGAAGTTTTATTCTATTTTTATGTTATATATTGTAAGCTGCCCAGAGAAGTGGCTTAGCCACTAGATGGGCAGGGCAAAATTTTAAATAAATAAATACATTCTGAATATCGTTTCAAAGTTGTAATTTTTTGTTTGTTTGGGGGTCTCCCTAGTTTTTGAATTGCCTTATGGAATGCTGAATTGGGCTGTCAGACAATATCTACTATTGCACACCTGGGCAGCAATAAAAACTGCATTTCTAACGTATTTTGTCTAAACTTTTCATGTCATTCTATTTTTATTTTAACAAACTGGCTTGGATCCATACTTAGTCATCCTTCTATTTATCCACTGAAACAAATATTAATAAAGCAGAGCTTGGAAAACTTCTTTGGTACTTACCATGCTGGCTGGGGGATTCTGACAGTTATAGTCTAAAAAGATATCCTTTCTCTCCTTTACTGCCATTAATTTCAGTGGATCTCTTTTGTTGTTGTTGTTGTTTAGTCGTTAAGTCATGTCCGACTCTTCGTGAACCCATGGATAAGAGCACATCAAGTCCTCCTTTCCACTGCCTCCCGGAGTTTGGTCAAATAAGAGCACGTCAAGCCTTCCTTTCCACTGCCTCCCGGAGTTGGGTCAAATTCATGTTGGTCGCTTTGATGACGCTGTCCAACCATCTTGTTCTCTGTCGTCCCCTTCTCCTCTTGCCTTTGCCCTTTCCCAACATCAGGGTCTTTTCCAGGGAGTCTTCTCTTCCCATGATATGGCCAAAGTACTGGCTCCTCAGCTTATTGATTGATTGATTGATTGATTGATTGATTGATTGATTGATTGATTGATTGATTTGATTTGATTTGATTTATACACCACCCATCTGGCCTAAAAGGCCATTCTGTCCTTCAAGTGAGCACTCAGGGTTGATTTCTTTCAAAATGGATAGGTTTGTTCTCTTTGCAGTCTCCTCCAGTACCACAATTTAAAAGAATAAATTCTTTGGCGGGATCTGTTTTAAGCATAATTAAATGTGGATCCAATTCAATGAACTCATTACATTTTAGCTCTTTTCCCTAATGATTTAGATTAATATCTATGGTTCACTTTCTCTCCACACCCCCTTATTCTCAAAACAATGTGAGGGAGTTTAGACTGAAATAACATGACTGCTGGGCAAGGTTTCCTTGTGATCTTCAAGATGAAGAGACATTTTGAACAGTTAACTCAACATGTTTCATGCTTTCTGAAATTTTTGTTTGTTTTGTTTGGTGTGTACTAGGTCATTCATGTGTGTGCATGCGTGTTCTGTGCCATCAGGTCAGAACCAAGTACAGTATATAAGACATTTAAGGAATGGTTTTACCAGTTCTACTCCCCCTATGAGTTTCCATGGCCAAGCACGGATTTGATTCCTGTTCTTCAGAGCCTTAATTCATCTCTCTATTGTCATTCAAGATTAGGCATCCTTCAGTCTCGAAAGACTATGATAATGTATTCTGTATGGAAGACTCGAACAAAGATTAGGCATCCTTCAGTCTCGAAAGACTA